CCTTTAATAAAATTCTAAAAGTTTATTTTAAATATACACTATTATTTGAAGTAATAATTATTTGTAAACCCTTCAGAGCTCTCCCTAAAGTATCAAATAAAAGCTAAATCCTTTTGTTAATCTTGCATTAATATTAATTTTCAGTCGTTAGTATCATAAGATAACAATTTAGTGTAGGTTGAGTAAAATAAAAATCAATTTGACAAATCAAACGTATGTGAAGGATACTTAGACAATTAACAGTAGCTGTAAGACCTATTCTCCTCCAACTTCAGTTGCGGGTTGCTGAGATTCAATTTCAGTATAAATCATTAGAGAACAAAGAAGTTATTTCAATCAATCATCTTAAACGTTTACAAAGCAACATCAACAATCTAAAATATTTTATTGAATTTCATAAGATTAAGCCTATGTGAGATGAATTAGTATTTAGTAATGACTACTTTGACAACGAATCTCAATAAATCTGAAGGAATTTAGCACTAACCATATCACTGAAGAACAATACCTACTAACCGTCCGACAACATATAGCTGCTCATAAGGAACTTGAGGATCATAAAATCTCATTTATTACCAATTTAGATCAATCCTGCCTACAGTGTCACCCAGACTACAAAACTCAATCAGGAAAATTACTATCTTTTGATAATTTTTGATTTTTGTGGATTGCACCTAAATATAACACTGTATCATATACTACCTTTACTGTAGCATATTTTATAAGGGTTTAAGAGAGTGAGGCTAGTTTTTTGGAAAAAGATCGCTTATTGAAATATTTGTTGAGAAAAATTGTTATTACAATTAAATATAAGAATAACATACTAAAGGAATCCTTTGATAGCATCACTGATAAATTATATCAAACTTGAGTAAAAACAAAATAATTTCAATTATAGAAAATTGAAAGTGTTAGCAGTACTGACTCAATTATAAATAGCAATTGTAGTGATACCTCAGAAAATATGGAAAGAGATCAAAATAATACTATCATAGCACCTTTTCAGGAAAGTAATGAAAGCTTCTAGGGATGACACTGCCAGTAACAATGAATGGACCACCATCAGGAACTACCACACCCATACCTCAACTACCATTTAACATATCATCTTATGTATAACCACGACAACTATACTTGGGAGATAGGAGGCAATATGACGAAGAAGAAAATGACAAATATGCCCTGATTATGAACAAAATATCCTATTTGAATATATCAATGATGATGACGAAACATTACAGGGAACATCTTTCTTTGATAATACAAATGAACTAGAGAGAGGAGGAACCCCAAGTAAAATACCTCAAAAAGTTACATTTAATACAAGTAATGATAGGAGGTCTCCATCCCTTATTAGGATAGAAAATATTTAACAATTAGTAGCCTTAACATTATCCAGTAATCAATCATCAAGGTCATCAAATTTAAGGGTAACAACTCCATCAGTAGGAAATACAAATAGTGGATCATTATTGGAAAATCCTTACAATTTTTTTCAAGCAACTCAATATAGTCATATATTTGACCTCTTAGTACCTCTTGATCTTTTCTAAAATAGCAACTCATCTACAACCTCCAGTTTCACAACTGCAAATTGGCAACTAATAAATAACTGTTATCTTGAAAGTAACTCAAGTAACAAAGGAAATAATACAATAGGACATCAAAATGTAACTATCAAAGGAACTTCACAGTCAACAATGGTAGCCTAACCATATAATATACGATCACCATCAAACTCCTAAAGGGTAATTCTCAATCAATTAGCACAACAACTTCTCAGTCAGTACTTAGCAGTCAACCATCAAATAATACAAACACCTCTCAGCCAATACTTACATCTCAACCAGTTATAGTACCAGTAGGAGGAAACAATAACAATGCTTATCTTCAAGTCATACAAGGGCTTAGCAGGATGGCTTCAAGAACAACAAACAAGAGAATAATGATTAGTAGATTTGCCAATATTTAGAGGAGGAAATTAGGATTCAGTGGAGTGGCTTGAGACTTTTGAATGAGCTTTGTAAAGCAAATCGTATCAATACCACTCAAATGGTTGTAATAGTCCTTAGTTATTTAACAGGAATAGTACTGACATAATTCTAATGATAATATGTTACCAACTGAAATAGTAGGATCAATTCTGACACTTCCTTCATACCATTATTTGAATAATATTTCTGCAATACATTTTGACAAAATCAATGGAAGTATCAGTTTAGGCATAGGAAGCAGAAATCAGGTGAAACGATTGAGAAATATGCGGCAGCAATAGGAAAATTATGGAAGTGAGTCGATCTACGGTAAAGGCGAGCTGAGATGGATAGAGTTGCTAAATTTATTGAAGGCCTGCAACCAGAATTTATGGTACCAGTGCAAACAGCAATGTCAATAACAGTAGATCAAGCAATCGAAAAGGCCAGAGTAGTAGAATCTGCATATTCCATTAGAATAGAACTATCTGCTTATTTGTTAATGTCTAATTATATGTAATTATTACAAGGAGGAATGGTACCAACTCGCACAAATGCAACCTACATATATTACACAGTAGTCAGATATTGAGGGCATTATTAATCACAAACTAAATGAAGCATTACAAACGATTATGGTAAATATTGGGTAACAACAGCAATAATAACAACAATAGCAGTAACAGCCACAACAATGGCTACGTGAATGTTTTAATTATGAAAAATTTGGACACTTGTCTAGAGATTGTAGAAGTAATCAACATATGAATAATGACCAATTAAATATTGAATGCTTTAACTGTGAGAAGTATGGTCATTTCGCCAGGGATTGCAAGAGTACAAACAATAATAGAGGTTGAAACTTTCAAAATTATAATGATAAAAACAGAAATCATAACCACAGTAATAGCAGGAATAGGAATTATAGAAATAATAATAATAATAATAACTACAATAATAATAGTAATAATAATAATAATAACCAATAGCATTTAAACCAGAAGTCGCATCTCTTAGGGGTGAGTGTGCGAACAAACCAAAGCTCTTAAAAATAAAAGAAGAGGAAAAAGCAAAAGAGAATAGTCAAGGTGAAGCAAAAACAAAAGTAAATTTAATAGAAGTACCTTATGTATGTAGAGGAATGAATTCGAAAATGCAATTCAGAGGATCATATGAAAACAAATATAATCACTCTAGTTGTGAAGAATATGACCACCACAGTTATATTGTATGTACAAATTGTAATAAGATCGCTAAAGGAATAGTAGCACAATGCGAATGTAAGGAAGTAAAATAGAAGGATCCACTAACTGATGAAAGGATTTTCAGTAAAAATCAGCCAATTAAACCAGTAGATCTCTAATAATAAGAAGAAGTCACTATTAAAAAAAGGCTAAAGTATATGTTAGGGATTTTATATAATGATAAAGGAATTTATCTTTCAAAACGAATTGACTCAAATAAGAAAATGTATAATTTATAACAAATAGTCAGTGGGAAAGTTGAACTAAGAGAATCATCAATAAGGATTATGATTCGAGAAATTAATGAAGAAACTGGAATACAATTGAATGAAAATCGCCTGAAATACATTTTAAATGATCCTACATATAATTGTGACGTATATAAAGTAAAGCTAAACAAAGAAATACCTCAACATACTGAACCTACCAAACATAGCAATTGGTAACATTTTGAGTTTAATGAATATTTACAAATGGCTGGTTTAAATGAACTAACACTAACACATAATAAATATAGAGAACTTTTCATATCTAAATTAAAGGAACATATTATTACTAGTATACAGCACGTGATGAACCTATCAAGAATGCATTGTTTATTGAAGTCCAAATAGAAGGATATCCTGTAAATGCTCTAGTAGATACTGGATCTGTAAGGAGTATCATTACTTAGTGGTATCTTAGGCAAATCAATAAGGAAATTGATGAACCTGCAAAAACAAAAATCATGGAAGTAGATGGAAAAATTATAATGCTTTTAGAAATAATTAAAGGAGTTACAGTAGAAGTTAATGGAATAACTGTTAATAAAGATATGCTAGTAACCAATGCTATAGGATATAATATTATCTTAGAAAACACCTGATTGCAAAAAGTTCGTGCAATCATTGACTATGATACTGTATTCTAGTTGTACAATAAGAAGATCAAACTTCTATAATGCCTATAACTTGCACGCAAGACATACATTCAGAAAGGTTTACACCAATCAAGCCTAAAATAATAGTAGATGAATTAGAATTTGAAGAGAAGGAAGATATTGATATTCAATAATATTTTACTATTATTCCTAAAGAAAAAGAGGAAGTAATCCAAATAAATGGAAAGGAATATCCTGAAATATACTTATAATAAATTGAATATGAAATAGATGTATAATAAAATAGAAATTAGACAGGATCGACTACATGTTAATGTTTGAAAATTTAGGAAATGAAGGCCAATGTGATGACTGTAGAGAAATTGTAAAGATAGTATAAACTTATCAATACTATAGGAATAGTATGGATCTACAAGCTGTCTATAAAGTTCAGATCGAAGAGAATGATATTTGAGTAAAAATTGGTAATGATTCAGGAAAATATATAATCTGTGGAAAATTAACAGATACTTTTTTAAAACAACTAAAAGCATTTCTTGAGAAAAACCTTAATAGTTTTGCGATCACAACACAGAAATTAACACATTCAGAGCAATATGAACATTGTATATTTACTAAAGACATATCACCAGTTGCACTAAAACTATATCGAATGTCAGTAAAAGATGATCAGTATATTCAGCAGGAAATTCAAAATATGTTAGATCAAGAAATTATATGACCTTCTCAAAGTCAATGGAGCTCACCTGTAATTCTTGTAAGGAAAAAGAATGAAAAAATGAGATTTTGCGTAGACTATAAGAAATTAAATGATGTAATAATAAAGGACTGATATCCCTTACCAAGGATTGATGAATTATTAGAATCCTTGGGTGGAGCAACATGGTATACTACTTTAGACTTAGCTTCAGAAAACTGGCAGTTTAAGATCAGGGAATAGGACAAACCCAAAACGGCATTTATTACGAAATATGGGTTATATGAATTCAATGTAATGCTATTCAGGTTGTGCAATGCATCAGCTACCTTTCAACGAGCTATGGATGATATATTACGAAAAATAAAAGAAAAATTTGTATTAGTATATCTTAATGATATCATCATATTTTCCAAAAGTTATGACGAACATTTACAATATCTCTAACAGGTTTTCAATTTATTAAAAGAAGCTCAATTAAAAATAAATCCAGAAAAGTACCATTTCTGCACAAACAAAATTCAATTTTTGAGACATGTAATATCAGGATAAGAGATATAACCTGATCCAGCAAAAATTGAAAAGATTATCAACCTCAATGCTCTATTTAATGTTAAATAATTATGAACTGTATTAGGATTATTCTCTTATTACTGACGTTTTGTTAAAAATTATTCTAAATTGGTAACCTCATTGAACGATTTGCTGAAAAAGGATGTGCCTTATAATTGGACAAAATAACATCAAAAGATTTTTCAAATACTTAAGGTAAAATTGACGACTGCGTTAATCTTATCCTATCCTGATTTCAATCAATCTTTTATTTTGAGTACTGATGCAAGTACTACAGGACTAGATGTAGTACTTTCACAAAAAGACAATGAAGGAAGAGAACATCCTATTTGGTATGCAAGCAGAACATTGAGCCTAGCTGAAAAAATTACCATATTACTGAATAAGAGACTTTAGCAGTAGTATAGGCAGTTATATATTTTAGGAGGTATTTAGAAGATAATATATTTATTATATATACCGATCACTCAGCATTGCAGTGGTTGTTGAATCAACCCACTAAAAAAAAAGGATAGTAAAAGGATTATTTGTTAGAAGATTCTATTACAACAATTTCAATTTGAAGTAAAATATCACAAAGAAAAGGCAAATGCGAACGCTAATACTCTCTTAAGAATTGATGAATTACAGACTTCAAACACATCACAAATCTTAATAGCAATAATAGATCATGGATAAGCAACAATATCAAAACATAATTCAATACCTTACCAACTTCACTTACCCAGAAAATTGCGATACTTCTTAACGGAAACAAATTCAACAATTATCAACCCACTACATTATTAAAAATTCACAATTATACAAACCAACCAAGGAAGGATTAAAAAGAGTAATTTCACAAGAACAAGTGAAAGTACTCTTATTTAATTTACATAAAGATATGTCAGAAGCTCATCTAGAAATTGAAGCATTATACAATAAGGCTAAAGAATGATATTATTGGTTACAAATATTCGAAGATATTAGAGAATATGTGAAAAATTGTGACAACTACTAATGAAGAGAACCAAGTACTAGAAAAAAACTATTACATCCTATTTTAGTTAAAGCATCTTTTTATCGAGTAGGATTAGATATAAAAGGACTATTACCTATTACAAAAACAGGGAATAGATACATAATAGTTGCAATGGACTACTTTACAAAATGGTTAGAAGCTAAAGCCATTAAGGATATCAAGGCTGATACAGTAGCAAAATTTCTATATGAAGAAGTGATATGCCGACATGATGCACCTGAGGAAATACTCACAGATCGAGAAACATCATTCATGAATCAGGTAATAGCACAATTATGTCAAAAGTTTCAAATAAAACATCAATTGATATCACTATATTGACCTTAAACAAATGGAATGGTAGAAAGATTTAACTGAACTATAGGAGAGTATTTAGCCAAATTAGTATACGATTAAGAAAATGAATGGGATACTTACGTTTTATCAGTATAAACAATAAACATAAAGTACAGGTTACATTCCATTTTACCTTATGTATAAACGACAAGTAATGTCACTAATAGATTGCAATTAAATTCTGTTAAAACAGATGAGCAAAATATTAATGATGCTTTGATGAATAAATTAACAAATTTAATTGACAA